TGGCTTCAACCCAGCTTTGTTGCAAGCCTGTTGGATGGAAGACTGCCAGCCCTCAAACCAGGTGAGGATCTCTATGAATTTTGTGGCATTATCTGCCACAAAAGCCACCTGATTTTTAATGTTTTCCTTTTCCAGGAGACCCGTTAGCTGGCACATGCACTGTGCATCCAGTGTGATGTCCAGCTTTTTGGCCACAAACTGCCAGTAGTACTGAATGTGTTCAGCATGGTACTAGATGGCCTTGAACCATTAATTCCAGTGCATAAGCACCGGCTGTGGTGGCAGCAGAACAGTAACATGGTTCCTTGCACTGATTAGTGATGGACTCCCTGTACCAGAGCTTACAGCCAGGACAGTGCTTGAAGGCTTTTTTCAGGCAGGGCACCAGGCTATCCACATCATGGAACTGCATGCGCCAGATGTCACTCACCAGTGACAGGATGTGTGCATTGCCGGTGACATGTACAGAGATGGGCATCATTCCCTGGAGCACATTGGTGAAAGCCTTGCGGATGTACCTGGCATTGTCAGAAATGAAGGCTGAGATCTTGCTGAAGTCTTAAGCTGTAGGTGAAAATATCTTTCATGATTGCCTGTGCAACTGTTGAAAAACTGACAGCCTCGAGGTAGACTGGCTGTGTCTGAAAAACAGGTCACCACCTGTCCAGCTCCTGCCTACAAATAATATATGCAGCATATAGTTGTCCTAACTGTCAGTGGCTTCATCATCCACAATGGAAATGGAATCAAACTTTGCCTATGCAGCTTTTGTGGCCTGCACATGTGAAGCTACCGCGTGTGGAAGATATTTTCCCCAAAGCCTGTTAGCTCTTGGAATACTTCCTCCATCTGGCATGTTGTTCTGTGAGTACTGTCCCAGGATTGGGTGGTGAAGCTTCGGCAGTGGGATGTTTGCAGCTGTGAGTGACTTGACCAGAGCAAATATAGTCTCTCTCCTTGCCATTCAGCTTCCACTGGTCTTTTTGAACATCGAAGACATGGTGGTTTGTTGCTTGCTCTTTCCTTCAGCCTCTGATGCAGCATATCTCTTCTGGTGTACTTCTGACTCTAAATGGCGATCAATACTATTTTTTCTCACCAGATCCAGAGGCATATTACACAAGGAGCAGAAGAGCTTGCTATCATCTGTATGAAGAATGCCTGCAGGAAACTGCTTCATTTGATCCATGGCAGGAATTTTCTTTGCTACCTGGGGTGTATTTACATTGTTCTTGCTCATCTTTTCAACTTGCACCATATGATTTCAGCATTTTGTAGAATCAGAAAAGTACGGTTGGAAGCGACCTCATGAGGTCATCTAGTCCAACCCCCTGCAGAAAGCAGGACCAGCCCCAACTATATCATCCCAGCCAAGGCTTTGCTTAGCTGACTGGATGTGAAGCGGGGAGGGTCGCTCCATGCTGGGTGCCTGCTCTCACAGCCAGTTATGGGGGAAGGGCTTCCCCCGACCCAGTGCAGGGTCTCTGCTTTGCTCTGCTCTTACTCTAAATGGTAAGAACCCCCTGCCCTAGTGCTTGCGGGCATACGCATGCTGGGTGCCTGCCCCCACAGCTGGGCATGGGGTTCTTACCTGCTCCACTCTGGGAAGGGCTTTGAATTCCCTGCCGAAGCGGGGAACCAGACAACCTGATTGGCTGAGCTCCAGCAGGGGCTAGGCTTGTACTAGACTGCCCCTGGAAACACATGGGGCTTTCACAGTGTTTCCAGGGATCTGTTGCCTTTCTTATCCATGCTTCTGGTAACTTTTCTTTAAACTTTTTTTCAGGCCATTACTGGCCAAATCACAGTTTGGGGGTATTGGGGGAAATGCTAAATTTCAGGCTTTCCCCTGAAATCCCCTGAAGCCTAAATTACAGTGGTCCCTAATTATTGGTGTACTAGAGAAAGGTTTAAACTGATTTTCTAGTCAAATATGATGAGATCACTTCCCCTCTCAGTTAATCACAGTTTGCAGTGATTTAATGCACAGTTCCTGAATGATGTGGGAACCAACTCTGCTGAGGCTTCATTCATGGTTGTGCATGAGGGGTATTTGAAGGCAATACTTTCCCAAGCAGGAAAAGACATAATCCCCCTGACCATTTTCCATAGTCCTGCAGGTCAGGGTCACTGAGTTTGGAATACCTTCAGCAAAGTAACTCTGTTGCTGCATCCTATCACACAGTCCCTGCATGCAGATCGTAGGATCATAGGAAAGTAGAGCTGAAAGGGTCCTCATGAGGTCATCTAGTCCAATCCCCTGCTCAAGGTAGGATTATCTCTGACTAAACCCCCTGAGTGCTAACTGGCATTGTGACCCTCATGCCAAATATATTGCTTTTTTGCCACTATATCCTAATACTCTTAAATCAGTCATTCTTACGAGAACTTACTCTTGTGCTCCAAAGGGATCCAGCTGTTGATATATTTGACCAATTTCAGACTTGCATATGGTTTCATATAATACTCAGAGAGTTTGCTATTGATTCAGAGTTGTGTGCCCAGTGTGTGAAAAATGCCAGGTTGCTGCTACCTTAGTGATATAATATGAAACCCTGACTTCGGTTGAGCTTTACTTTTTAGGTCTGTGTTTTCACTTGCTTTGACAGGCAAATTAAGAGCGACAGATTAGCATTAGATTGTCAAATGGGCTTAGCGATGAAGAAGTAATGTTAATTTTTCTGAAGGGAATCCAGACAGATATTCTATGACCAAATCCAAATAATAAATTAATGAAATAGAGATACTGCAAAAAAATTGAATACTAAAATTAACAAGATGAGGAAAAGCTATCATTTCATCTTCATCAAAATATTGAGTCAAGAATAAGACACATTCAGGAGCTATTTGTAATTAATACTGTTATTATTTTTGGGTTCTTTAATATCTGTCAGCAAATGTGTCTTTGGACAATAACAGATCTTACTGAAGTTGATCGGCATGCTAGACACCTTTCCTGCAAGCTACACAAGGAAAAAACTAAATGTCCCTTTCTTGAATGGTGGTCCAGCATGGAAGGGCTGAGCAAATCTGGTGTAGGAGTTGTGTTTTCCTGGGGCAAATTTAAAAAATATGGACTAGTGCATTAATTTGTGGGGCTCTTGTATGTCTTTGTGTATCAGCAGCAGAAAAAAGCAGGGTGGAATGGACTGAGAAGCAGCAGATAGCCCTGTGAAGAAACAGTGACAGATTCCTTGGCTGTAGGCGGGCATCACATTTGACCTATTGTCCAGATCAAAAGAGGAGCCATTTGACCCATGACCTGGATCAAAACAGGAGTAGCACCGTCATTTACATGCATTCTTCCAAACTGCATTTCTGCCTCTTTGCCAGTAGGTGGCCAGTGAGAACACACAGCTATATGATCCTGGGACAAAAGGCTTCCTCCAGGGACAAATGGGCCATCTGTTCATAGCCACTGTAGCACGGGAATGGCTGGGAAGCAGGTTTGGTTTTCTGAATAAGAAATATGTCTTCTATCATTTTTTCCCTACTGTGTTCAAGGGAAAAAATAGGCTGCACTTTTTTTTTAATGAATAGGTAGGGCTGTAACAAAGAAATGCCTGATTGTATAACTAGTTTTTTCCTTTTGACAGAAACAGAACTTCAGGTTCCCAAATACTGGCTGACACCTGGCCAAGGAGGCAATGTTAAGCATAGACCCCTTGAATATCCCATCTCAGTTCAGAGTCCCATTGTCCTAGGCAGTACACAAGTATGTAGAAGGCAACTTCTGCCTCTAGAAACTGAACACTTAAGAGACCAGAAGTAAAAGAAGTATCTGTTTTTCCCATTCTAGAGAGGGGAGCTGGGGCATGGAGATATTAAGTGTTTAGTCCTAGGTTTTACAGGAGGGCTGTGACAGACTCAGGATTTGAACCTGAATTTCATGATTTCCAGTTCACTAGCAAAACTATGGATATTTGTGTTTCAAATGTTGGGACCCTGATAGCCAGAAGGAATTACGAGTACTACCAAATATAAATCAACAATAATACATTAGTGAATCTTAACTTGAACATTTTTGTTCTCCATATTGGGTTTTATTTACCTTTGGGCCAGAGCTATAGTAATTGTATAGTAAACACATTAATATTTTAATTAGGAAATGATTATTTTCTACTGTCATCACTGCTCTCTACCTAGCTGTGCTGAGAGAAAGGCAGCAATTGAAGAATCTTTTCAGCAGAGAGCAGTGTGTTTGCCAACAGCAGATAAAGCAAGACATAGGGGAAGCATACATCTGTTCTTTAGTCTGTCTTCTTTTTTTTTCTGCATGAAACACAAGTAAAGAAAATTTATAGGAAATAGTTGGGTTTTTTATGGGAAATTGTTGTGTTTTTCAAGCGTCAAATTTACATACTGTAACTGCTACCTTATTCAGGACTGCAATAAAAATATTCACATGTGCACCTAATTGGTTAGTATAGCCCTTTCCATGGTATTTTATGCGCTAACACTATATTTTATGTCATGTTAATTAATGATGGATGATGGGGTTTTGGTCGCTGTAATGTACAAATAAATTATTGTATGCTCTGAGTTTCCTGTATATATTTTATGTTCCTGTTTCTACTTCTGTCTTCGGTCCCCTTTGTTAGGTCTTGACTACACAGGACATTTTTACCAATTATAGCTGCATAGTTAAGCTGAGATAGTTATGACAGTATAACTCCTTAGCATTCTTATTCTGGTGGAAGCGTAATCTTTTTAATTTAGCTTGAGTCCCTTCCAACGCCAGTTGATCTAAACCAGAAAAGGTCTCTCTTGTTCTGCACCTGTACCTGTTTAAAATGACACCTTTCTTAGTAAGGGTTTAACTTACCATGTTGACAACTTCTTTGACTGTAAGCTCTTTGGGCCAGGGATGGTCTCTTGCTGTATGCATGCACAATGTGCTTTATGCGTAGCACAGCAGGGCCCCAATTTGGACTGGGATTCCTAACTGTTACACCTATATAAATAACAGACAATAATGATATGCCCATTCCTTTGTGTAGAGGAACTCAAGGAGAAGCTGAAGGAGTATGTTGATGAGGTGAACACAAGAAAGCCTGGTTTCATCAAGGTGGTCCGACATAGCAAGCAAGAAGGCCTGATCCGGTCTCGAGTTAGTGGATGGAGAGTGGCTACTGCACCGGTAGTTGCTCTCTTCGATGCCCATGTGGAATTTAATGTGGGATGGTATGTGTCTTGCTGCTTCTGCTGTTCTTCTGATAGGGTAACTTGTTACTATTTCTTGATATATCATTCATAAATTACTGCATGGAATTAATCCAGGATCTATGAGGGCAAGTTGTATACAGATCCTTTAATGTCAATTTAAATACAGAGATAATTATGAAAAAATAATTTTCATAAAAATGTAAGTCACATTAGGAAGACTGTCATTTCTAGAACTGGGTTATTATCTGTCACAGTATGTTTTTCAAATAAATGCATAGAACTACATTAGACAAGTACAAGCTTGTAAGTTACTACTCCCTGTTAAATTATGTATCAAATGTCTATATGCATAATATGTTATTGCCCTGTTTTTACTTGTTTTTTTATCAATCCCTTGTGCAAAGATGAAAAGTAGTCACTTAGGCATGGAGAAGCTAACTGGAACAGGTCAGTCGTATAACAAGCTTGTGTGTAAAGAAAACTCGAAGGGGCTTATAAATTTTTTATAATGAGTTAGGGCCAACATCCGTGTGTTGCTGGGATCCTCTGAGGAGGTGTAGTGGCATCTCAGCCAACCCAAAGAGAATAACGTGTTGTTCATCAGGACACTTTTCACATTTGTAAGCACTGTATTTAAATAACTTGAAAAAGTCCCATTCAAACTCTTGCATTATTTGTAAGTGTCATAGAAGAACTGAAAAAGCTTTGCTTTGTACATCATACAGCATAAGACGGTAAGAATGAGATTTGTATTCAGCAAGATATTTAAGCAGGTGCATAACTGAGTTTTTAAGTTATCTTCCTGAAGCCATTTTAGCCGCATGCTGCAAGATGTATAAGTGTATGCGCTCTCTCTGTACACATGCATAATTTCTGCCTGAATTTGACCCTGACCCCGTTAAGCTTCAAGCCTAAACCTGTAATTCTGGGAGCACCTACTGTTAATATGTCAGAATATTACATCTGCAGTTTGGGTGTCAGGGTGTGTGGGAGAGTGGAAAGGTAGGACCTGGCAAGGATCCATGTGGACTGATAGTATAAATATTTTATATTTTAAAGAAAGTAATAATGTGGCATAAAGTGCCAGTCTGAATACTTGTTTCTAAAGGATTTGTGCTGTATAATTAACTACTCTGGCTTACACATGAGAAAAAAATGACATGGCAATGTCTCAGAATTTTCTTCGATAGGCTTGTTGTATTGCTTGATCTTCTTTACAATTACTTTTGAATTAGAACTTAAATGGTGTTAAAAATGTCTGGGTTATGTGGGATGAGAGTGGGAAACCAAGCTTTTGTGCTTCTAGGTCATTGGTTTCAATCCATATCATCAATCAGTCCAATTTAGCCTATGCCAATAGTCAAGAACAGTTGTTATCGAAATGTATCTGCAATGGCCCCTCCAAAAATTAATTGCTTGTCTCAGCTATCTTCTTAGTGAAGAGATTTCATGTTATGCAACCACTCTCATGCTCATCTCTAATCTTTCATTAACAATGACTTTACTGTGCCCATTCTGTGGCTAAACAGGGGAACTTCAGTAGCAGGTCTTTGTGACTGCAGCTTCTCTTGCAAGTAGTAATGATTCAGTCATCCAACCTAAGTTTAATATCTCTATTACTTTTTGAAGGAAAACATGGTGTCTTTAAAATGATAGAAGCTTTTGTCCCTACGGGACTTCTGTTATTAACTCTGATCTTCTTGATGTCCTTGATCGTACTGATGGCCTAGAGACACCATCTTTATTTGGCAACTAGTATGTGAAAGATCACAGATAAGACAGAATTCATTTCTTCTAGCATCCAGGCTAGAATAGCATTGGATAACATGCTAGATTTGATGCTTCAAAGTATTATTTTGGCTGAATCCTGCAAACTTATGTAGTCAAATAATTCCTGAAGTCAGTAGGTTGCAGAATTTAGCTTTAAATAATATACAAAGCTAACTACTGTGTACACAAAGTGATATATTTTTGTTGAAACAATCTCAGCTCCTTCATTTTCCTTTAGGGCTGAACCAGTGCTCACCAGGATAAAGGAAAACAGAAAAAGGGTCATTTCTCCCTCATTTGATAACATCAAGTATGATAATTTTGAAATAGAGGAGTATCCCCTATCTGCACAGGGGTTTGACTGGGAGCTGTGGTGCCGATACCTAAATCCTCCAAAATCGTGGTGGAAGCTGGAAAACTCAACTGCTCCAATAAGGTAACATGTAGCTGTGGTCTGGGTTGAGGAACTGTAGGAAGTGCTCAATTATAGTTAACAAATAATGAAAGGGCAAGGTACACCTGCCCATTTTAACAAAGGTTAAGGGGGTGGTTTATTATTATGGTTAATAAAAGTTTTTAAAGTTTCTCCGCTTCTTTCAGGATTGCGCATATAACTGCAGAAAAGCTATATAGTTTCTGTGTTTTGTTCTAACCTACTTCATTTTTATGGAATGAGTCAAGAAGAATATAATACTCAAAAGAGCAGAATTGAATACTTGATTCCATATTGCTTTTTACAATGTTTTGTCTGCTAATTTAATAGTAATGGTCCAGAAAGGAGAATTTAGTTTACAAATGTACAACAATCAAAATGGTAAAATTAAGATGTGATGATTACATTTATTATTTGTATTGCATAGTTGTAAAATTTTTGTGTTATAATCTCATAGGGCCCTATGTTAACCCATTTGGTATGCAGGAGTAGAGTGTGTTAAACCTTTACTTTTGTATAACTTAGCTCAACACCTCTTTTGTCAGGCTGGTATTGAAGCACTCTGAGCTACTCTGAGGTATCTTGGTAGGGCTGCTTTATGAAAATATGCCTAGGGACTCCAACCCTCTCTGTCTAGATTCTAATACTTCCTTCTTTCTATACAAATTGCAATAAGTTTCCTGTAACCTACTCTCTGGTTTCCTTAAAAAATGGCTGCAAGAAGAGAAGGCAGTTGAAACTGAGGTACCAAAACTTGTACCATTGGGACTGCCCAGAATGGATCTATTAGTTGGTATTTTCTTTTCAGCCTGATTGCTCTGTTTAGGATCTGTCACTTGGGATTGTTATCTGTGGGGAGCACTGATCCATTCCATCTCCCCATCTCTCATGAAGAAGGAGGAGGATGGTACTGAACAGGACTGCAAATGAAGAGATTGGGATTTCCTATATTAGACAGTAATGTTTACTTCACAGGGATATGATGAATTAACATTATTAAAGTGGCTTGATCTAAGCTTAGTAATTGTTACTTATAATATGCTTTTGTGAAGTTTTAAAAATAAATTTATTTAAATTTAGACTAAGAAATGAGTGGTTTTGCATTGTACCCAGTAATTATGTGACTCATTAGAATGCTGGCATTTAGATTTGCACCTTGCAGCACCAGTCAGTGAAGCTGAGAGCTAGCCATTCTCCTGAAGCATGTATTTTACTGATGTGTTATAGAAGAATGTTTTGTAATAGCAACAGCAAATTAAGTTCAGTGTGTGGATTCCTGGTTCTATTTAGGCCATTCTTCCAATAACCAACAAATTATTCCTGGAGGCATTGTTGGAAGGAAAGTCATGAAAATATAGCAGAATTAGAATAAGGCAAAGAGATTTCTTACTTTATTAGACATTAAGAAACCTTTCTACTCCTCGACAATTTTTAAAATGACATCAGGCTGACTGACATTTTCTTTATTGCTAAATACATTAGAAATAATTTTCCTCATTCTGAAGTTGTAAAACTGTAGGTCAACATCACAGACGTATAAATCTGTACAGGGGCAGAATTTTAAGGTTTGTGATTAAGTTTTATAATCTCACTAAAAACAGATGTCTACATTTATCACAGTTTCATTTTTCTGTTCCAAAAAAATGCAGAATTATTTACCCCATGGCCTTACAAATCCCTGTGCCCTTTAATTAATACCCTGGTGTTTCCAATGCTCCCTAGGCAGGCACAGTGACAACAATGCCATTTTTCTTTTTCTCAGCATGCATGATAAGGTAAAAACACTGCTCAAGTCAGATTAATCATTTTGCATTCTCCTTTCCTGCCCCCTCAAAGTAGAAGAAACATTTTATTCTGTGTGGTTAGATTTTCACCACATTAATGCAACAGTGATGCTGGATGACTCAGGATATGATGTCAATAGGATAAGATGACTCAGTAATGAGATGCGGAGTCTCTCAGCCCTAAAACTTTAATTCAAATTTGGCCTAGGTTAGCAGTTTTTGAAAAATGTTAGGAATTTCATAGAATCATAGGAACTGAGTGGCTAAGAGTATGCTCCCTTCTTCCTGCAATGGCTAGTCCCACAAAGATGAAGCACAGAGCAAACAAAGCACATCAATAAAACATCACTGTCACTGCACATCCTTTAGCTATTCTGTAGATAACTTGAAACTTTCCATATCCAACTTTATTTGCAATCCAGTGCCTTTCACCACCACTGAGTTCACTTGAGGAGAAAAAAAAGGATGGCATAATAAGGCAGAATTGGCCAAATACATCTTGGATGCAACTGTGCTGAAGTCCCCAGTCATATTTCTGGTATGAGTCAGCAATATAGACAAAATATTATAAGATTATATGGATAGCAAATATAAGATTATATGGATAGCATATATGGGTGGATGACACTAACTTAACCATGTTTCAAACTGTGTCATATGCCTGCTTCATTCCACAGTAAGTAGAAGCTAAATGGCAGTAAAATACTACTGGTTTTATTCTGGTGTAAGCTGCCTGGTTTAGTTCCATTCCCTGTGAGATAGGAGGGGACACACACCAAACAGTAATTATTCATAAGAGTGCATCACCTAATCTATAAGTCCTTCTCATTTTGATACCTTTTTGTCTATTTACAGACTGAATGACTCAGGAGAAGAAGTTGCACTTATATTCTAGGTTGATTTTTGTTGTTCTGTTTGTATTCTTTCAGAAGTCCAGCACTGATTGGGTGTTTCATAGTAGACAGGCAATATTTCCAAGAAATTGGCTTGCTTGATGAAGGCATGGAAGTCTATGGAGGAGAAAATGTGGAACTTGGGATCAGGGTAAGGACTGTAACACATGGCAAATACTCTTGCCTTTTTATTAAATAGTACTTGACTCGCATCAAGAGTTGAGAAAGCAAACAAAATCCAGTGGAGGCAGTATCCGGGGGAGCTATTATTCTGTATGTCACTGTGGCAATTGGTGTGTCCATTTAATGTACTAAAATAGCTAGCAGCTGCAACAACTATGGGTTATGTTTAGGAAGGAATGAACAAAAGGCAGAAGCTCTCTTATCATTTTGAAAAATATATTTAGAGTGGGGAGAATACAAAACCTGATTTTATTATTGCTTGATTATCATAGCAGCATTTTGTTGTGATGAATGCTGAGAAAACTCTCTGCTCCCCTTACACCTACAGGTAGCTGTAAGGAGAGCAGTTACTCAAAGATCTAATGGAGAAGGCTATCCTAGATTCATCTGTTTATTTAAATTCAGCAAATCACTTTGGATAGAACTGAAATGTAAAGCAGCTATGCCATCTCCCTTCTGCCTCTGCTTAGGAGTTAAGATATTCATAGAGTACTGAGTCTGCTTAATCGCACATTTTTTTTCTTCCATCATACACTGTTCATTTATTTACTATTTTTCAATACTCTCTGTGATCTGTGTATCTTTTTCTGTCTCCCTTCATGAATAAATATCTTCCTGAAAATGCAATGCTGCTCAACTTAGGAGATTCTCTTGGACTTTTGCTACAAGTGAAAGATGAATTCCTAGATAGGAAGTTGGTAATGAAAAAAAATGGTCCAATTTGTGTTACAAAATTAGATTCACCAACTCTGCTATTGAAATATTAGCTGAACACATGGAAGTTTGTGTTTTGTGCTTTTCAGGGATCTAAATAAAAACAACAACAAAAAATACGATAGTCTAAAGACAAGAATGCTTTTCTGTCAATAAATGGTAAAATGTCTTCAGGTGGCATGTTCAGACGGTGAAACATACTACAAAACCACTCATTTTCCACCCTTTTTAAAATTCCTTTACTCTCACCTGTCAGAGATAAAGCCTTGTAGCAGCGTATATAAAAGTAAGGTCCTTGCCAAGGTATGTTATAGTCCCTAGCAAGGAGGGTATGTACCCTTTCTTTGACAACAGCAGCTTCTGCTTGCTGAAGTTCAGGTGATTCCTATAGCCCAATTTCTCAACTAACTGTTACTTACTGAGTTTGAAAGTTAATGATTTTTAACTGAATGAGTTATTGCTTGCATACTAGGGCAAAGGGTTGATCAACCATAACTTTGACACTTCTCTGGTAATTTGCACAACAGGATAGGGGATCATTGTTGTCGAGAAATATATAGGCTAGGCAAGTTTTTACATTACTTTAGTCTTCGTGGAAGTTATTTGATGACAGGACAAGTCAGTGATACAAATCTCCACATAACTGAAATTGTGGAGTATACTGGAGCAATCTCTTGTCTTCTGAGAAACAAAGCCTGACCTATGTAAAATGCTTTCGTCTTTAACGCACTGTGGTATGCACAGTAGCACAATATATATTGGCTTATCAAGCTGTATCCTGACTCAGATCTGGGCTCCCAGTTACATCATAATAAACTATGCTGTAATAGCCAGATTTTTCAGTCCTTTACCAGGAGCTCTCCTTGGTGAACTCAGCATAGCCCCTGTAATACCAGTATTAATATACATGTATAATGCAATATTAATACTGTAGGGAAGCATAACAGTCTTTCTGCAGATGTTAGACCCTGCAAGTATGCCTCTTCTCTTAACCACCTGTAGCTGTAAATTGCTTCTGGGCAAAATTCAGGTGCCTGCCCAGAAGGTTGCTGTCATAATATTGTAGAAAATAATGTGATTTAGTTGCATCTTCAGTACTTAACAGTTTATGGTGTTGCTCCCCAAGTACTGTCTTTAATTTTCTTGGGTAGAGGCATTCTGAATGGTCAGAGAAGGATTCTGGTCCAGATGGTCCCTTACTGCTGGCTAACTACATTTGCTTGTCTCTGAAGCACCAAAAAGTCATTTCTAGACTCCCTGTGTTGCTTTTAACTTCAGGGCCCAAAATGAATCACTTTTAATAAAGGCTATAATTGTTCAACAGGAACTGCAGCAAATTACATTTTATAGTGACAGTATCGCCACACTAAACAACATGTTCATTTTAAAATCTAAGCTTCTATCCATGACTACAGATTGCACTGTGCTTCACCTTTCATCAACACTTTCTTCTTTAACAGTGTCTCCTTGTCTTCTGATGGGTGTTGTACATTACTGTGTAGCCACTAAACAAAAATAGCTGCTAGCTTTTCTAGATATTAGGTACTGTATGTCGCATATTATATGATATTGTGGAACTAACTGGCCAGTCACATTTCATTAGCTGACTCCATGTCATGAAGTTGTAAATAAAAGGCACACTGGCATGTTCCCCTTCTCTGTGCTAGAAAGTTTTGAAACGCTGAAAAGTAGTTTTACTTCCTTTATTTAGGAAACTTTTATGTATTGAAAGCCCACTTGACTGTACAGGCTCACCCCCTGCAGTACGATTTTATTACTGGGACTGGATGAACATTTTCTGTCTTGCTATTGAAGTGGTTACATTAAGGAAGGATACTGTATGAATGTAAACCAGTTCCAAATGAGATGTTAATGTTCAGGAGATGGCATTAATGATAAATCTACTCCCATGCAAAGAAATGATTGCTGTGTGGCTCTCTGCAGCTCTGTGGAAGGATGAATATATGGAAGGCCAAGGCATGTCCATATACTGAGAGATTATCTTGTTAGGGTGGGGCCAAATCCAGTTCTTTTTCCCTATGCCCAGTGACATCAGACATGGTATGGCTGCAGAAGTGGCATGTCCAGTTTGGGCTGAAGTTTTCATTTCCCAGCTCTTAGATGTTTTCACGTACAACAACATTCTCTTATGCAATACTCTTACACATTGCTCCACATATATCATGGGCAAATATTATTCCTTCTGAAACCTTGAAACATCTGACTCACAGTGGAACTGTTGATGTTTTTACTGTGTAGGTGTAAGACTTGGACCCTAGTCTACCTGCCTTATAGGCCAGTGCTGCAGTTAGAGGAGGCATTTTACTCATCTCGCCATCCACTCAAATATTCAGTCGTCTTATACCACTTTGGACAAAGAACATTTACTGATCCTTTTCAGTAACAGTCAAAGCATTCATTTTCTGGTAATTTCTCAGGCTGTATGGCAAGTAGGTCTAATTATTTACACTTTCTTGATACAATATAGGATTTATTATAGGAGTTTCAGATATATCTCTTCGTATCTAGTAATACTTCTTTTTTCTCTTCTTACTCCATTCCTTTAATTTGGAGTATCATAAAATAATAGAAAATTAGGGTTACAGGGAAACCTCAGAAGGTCATCTAGTCCAACCCCTTGCTCAAAGGAGGACCATCCCCAGCTAGATCATCCCAGCCGAGGCTTTGTCTAGCCACGTCTTAAAAACCTTTAAGGATGGAGAGTCCACCACATTTCTGTGTAACTTGTTCCAGTTTCAAAATGGCTGAAACTGGTCTAAGATAAACCTGGTTAAATGTAGTATCAGACTTAACTGATTTAGGACAACCCACTTACAAAACTTCTGTCCCAGACGCCTTCCTGGTGCAAGTTAAATCGGTGTCCAACAGCATCCCAGCATGCTGTCCAGCCCTGGGCTAGGCTGTACCGTCTGCTCCAGATTAGAGGGCTGGCCCCACCCCTCTGCTCCATATCTGGGGCAGTGAGGACTGGATCACTGGCCTCAATGGCTGGGTCACTGCCCCTTCAGGCAAACCCCAGATGGGGTCTGCGGCTGGGTGGGTAGGGGTGGTGTTAAACTCATCTTTCCCTGAGTACACAGCTGCCGTGCCCTGCTAAAACTTAGTGCTGGCTGTGACTCTGGACAAATCCCACCTGGAAGCAGAGAAAGAATAAGTCATAAGGAACCATGAGAGTCCTGCTGCTCTGATTCTGGACTGCAAATCCCAGAGACCTTGGGGGCAGCAGGAAGAGTATGTAAACACACAGCCCAGGCTGCATTTATAGCTCTTTAGTTTATGGTTTTTCAGAGACAGAACTATTTTTGTTCAAGCTTTTAGGAATGTATTGCCACTACCTTCCCTCCTGCCACCCCTGCCCAGGCAGAGCATGGGATGGGGCTTGACCATGTCCCCTCTGCTCCAGCAGGGCTTTCTCTCTGCCCTCCCTTTTGATGGTGGCTGGCAGGCATCACCCCCTGGCTTCTGGTTTGAGCCACTGCGAGCATGTGGCTGGATTTCCTGTATCAAAAGTGAATGTGTGCTTATTTGCTTATTGTTTCAAATTCTGCAGCTTAGACTAACCTGCAAAGACTGAATCAATTCAGCTTCGGGCTTTCTGACTGTCTGTACTTAGCCCAAGTGCTTAGAAATGGATTTCTTGAGGATCTGCTCCATGATTTTTCCAAGAATTGAAGTGAGGCTCACTGGTCTGTAGTTTCCTGGATCCTCCTTCTCCCTTTCTTAAATGTGGGCACTGTTTGCCCTTTTCCAATCATCCAGGACCTCTTCTGATTGCCATGAGTTTTCAAAGATGGTGGCCAATCGCATCACCCAACTCCATCACCACCATCCAACTTTTCTAAAGTGTCCCTACCCTGTTCTTTCACCACTGTTGGCTGCTCACCTCCTCCCCAAATTGTACTGCCAGGAGCAGTAGTCTGGGAGCTGACCTTGCTTCTGAAGACTGAGATTAAAAAGGCATTGAGCACTTCAGCCTTTTTTTCATCCTCTCACACTAGATTGCCTCCCCCACTCAGAAAGGGACCCACACTTTTCCTGATCTTTCTCTTGCTACCGACATACTTGTAGAAACCCTTCTTGTTACCCTTCATGTCCCTTGCTAACTACAACTCCAATTGTGCTTTGGCCTTCCTGCTTCATCCCTGCCTGCCTGAGTAATACTTTTATTCTCCTCCTTAATTTTTTGTCCAAGTGTCCACTTCTTATAAGCTTCCTTTTTGTGATTAAGTTTAC